AGTATAGGATTTCATATTGAATTTGAAAACAATATATTAAGTCCATCTACAAATTTACTAGACTAAAAACCGATCAAACTTTTAAAACTTTTTAGTTTCATTAGATTAGAAACAGCATAAAATATTCATAGCTGCTCAATTATTTTACTAAAAAGTTATTTAGACTTAAAACAGATCAAAAATAATTTGAATAGTAGATCAAATACAGATGAAAATGTTTTTAAAAGTTCAAATACAGATCAATAAGTTCAAGTGCAGATCATTTAGCTTAAAATCAGTTTAAATTTTTCGACCCGGGTACATTCACATCAAATTTTATTTTCCCATTAAAATTCAAATATTTGATTTAAAAAAATTGACTATGTTATTTGAAGAGTTTAGAAGTTGTAGCTAATTTTTTCAAAAGCACAAAACTATTGGAAAATATAAAAAAAAATTCCGCTTTCGCAGAATTTATTTTTTATCAGTCAATCAGATGTGTTAGTAATTTTTGTTTATTGTTTGTTGTAATTAAATATGATTCAATAAAAGTACAATACAATAAAGTCCAACGTGTTTTATATTTAAGGCATGCAATTCATGTGGTTATTAAATAAATGAATACGTATGAGCAATACAAAAAAAAAAGAAAATATTTTCTACACCTCTAAAGTGATAGGTACATTTTTAACACGCATATAACGCGAAAACTGCTGAATATTTTGATATAAAATCTCCTTTATGAGGTTCAGCGTATGTCAGAGAGTTTTGGACTATATATTATCAACATTTTGGTAATGAAAATCATTTTGTTTTGTACTTAGTTGTAGTAAATTTTATTGGTTCACTTTTTTCATCATTATTAAAAAAGTGAATAAACATAATAATAATAAAGAATTTTATTTTCAATAATCAATTGTTATACCGGTATTATAATAAAGAAAAATTCAGCTTTTAATTTTTTAGAATAATTTTTTTCGTCGATGAATTTGAAATAACTTGTATTATACTTTGAGTAAGTCTAAAATGTGGTGAATTTTTTTTTGTTTAAATGATATAAGTTTCTTTTTATCAAATATAAGATTTCGGTAGTACTTTATCGATATAGAATAATAACTCTTACCAGAACTGCAGACACCATTGTAGATTTTTCTCAGGGGTAATCTAGATCTGCAAGATTCCTGTCTAAGACTGCATTCATTAGAGTAAGTCTTGCCGTTGCTACCACACACTGGTGAGAACTCAAGACCACATTGTTCGCCACAATGACAGGCAGGCTGTCGCGAAGCGTCCAGTTGACAGACCTCTGGTTCTGAGCACTCGACAGTGCTACAAGGATCTACAAGTAAATATTCATTATGTTGACTAACTACGTAAGCCCATTTACATGATGAGATGAGGTAAGACTTATAGTGACATATTTAGTGAACTATTAACTATCCGACTGTTCGGACTAAACCACTTTAGATTAACAACTGAGTAAAATTTTCGGTTCTTTTGATAAAGATATCAACAGCAGAGATTCTTTTCAAACAGAAAGAGGTTAATAGGTGCCTGAATGTCTGCGTCGTCCCTGTTGAATTAAAACTCAAATCTGTGACTACAGGGGTTCTCGGGATAGAAGTAGAAGAAAAAGGATCTAAAAGAAACCAAGAGCCAGCAAGAGACGGAAGCATAACGGGTTTCAGTGGTGAGATTGGGTCGAGTTGTTCCGGTATCGCGTCGAGATTAATCTTCGCTACGAAAGGAAGGAAGTTGAATTCCGTTTCCCGTTTGTAGATGGGGTCGGGCTGACGAAGCAAGTTTCATGAAGAGAGAAGAGACAGAATGAGAGCAAGTGAAAGGAGTAACAGTGGTGTTTCTTGGGGTTAGTTTAAGTTACTCTCCAGTAGAGCAGCTAAACTCGATCATGATTCTTACTAGTACTAGTAGTATAACCTTTGATCATCCGTCAACTAATTTAATTTTTTATTTTATTTCATAACTAATTATTTAAGATCATTTATTTTTAAAAAAAGCTTCAAAGTTGAGTGTTTTTGTGGTATATCGCTTAAGCTAATAATACAATCATGATACTTATCGGACTATATTTTGTATGCGTAATATGTTCAATTTACTATTATCGCAATGATTACTATCCACATGAATCAGGACATAGTATGCCTAATTCATGACATAGTATGCCTGAAGCAGGACATAGTATGACCACAACAATACATGTATTGTTGTGGTCGCGATATTGGTTCCTTACTGTGAACATTTTTCTAAATCGTATATATAGATCGCGATAATCACGATACGTTAAGCCGCAGCAGGAAAATTTTTTTACATTAGTCAATTTATTTCTTATTGAAGTGCTTTAAAATAAAAAATATGAGGTTTTGGGTCCTAGCTTGAGCCTAAAACCCTATATTTTTTCGGAATGGTTCTTTGATTACGTAAAAACGGAAGTCTCAATTAAATAGTGATCATAATAATTTTTATTTATTATACTTGGACTATAGAGTAGTAAACATACCACTTTGGCGTAAAACTGACTTAATATTTTATTTTTTAGAATTCTCAAAATGTACCAGACCGAATTGGTTTGAATTTATACAAAATTTGAGAGCAATAGGACCCTATTAAATACCACAAACGCTTCGATCGGTCAAACCGTTCAACAGTTATTAGACACACACACACACACACACACACACACACACACACACACACACACACACACACACACACACACACACACACACACACACACACACACACACACACACACACACACACACACACACACACACACACACACACACACACACACACA